TGCATCCCTCATGAAAATTGTTTCAATTTCTTAAACAAATGGAAGACAAATAATAAAAATGAGTAGTGAACAAAATGCACATGTATATTATAACATACTCATAAGTCTTAAATTTGTTTTCCTCGAAGGAAGGAAACACCTTCAAATTCTAATWTAAGTTAAAGACGTGACTTAAAAAAGTGGATGGTGAATAAAACATACTTCTCTTACAAAAATAAAATCAAAAACTATTTAATGAAGTAAATTGACAAGATAATTACCCCACTGCCAATGTGGATCGTTGAAGTCATCCATGATGAAACACAAGAATGAAGCATTGTTAGCATTTATGAAATAGGATACCAGAAAATCAAGAAACCAATTCTAAGGTAAATAAGAACCTCATGGGCCCAAAAGAGTCCTCTTCCACCATGGCAAGTAGATGATGCGCTACAACTTAAAGATGGCCAATACTTTTGAAGCTCTCCAAGCAAAGATGAGACCTACAAAAGAGATACAGTTGTATATGGTTGCATTAGTCAGACTCCAGTTTAGAGCCCAATATCAGCAACTAGTACTTCAGAGAGAACAATATTTTATCTTGTGTGCACATTCCACAACTTGGGTAGATTCAAGATGCATCAGATGAGTTAATTTAACAAACCTTACCACTGAACCTAAAGCTTTAAGTGATGGTCTTTATTATATGAAAGTAATGGTAGATGGTGATTCTTCATCCAATATCAAAATCATAAAGAGATTTATAGAAATATATTGGAGTTTGCAGTACAAGTGGGAGAAACCCAAGAGGCCATGCAAGACTTAAATATTGCTCATAATCATGCACTCCAAGAGATTAACAGCTTTTCGAATGCCTAAACCAATTTTCCTCAAGAATCTACAGCCAATACTGTCTTCTAAGGAAGGTGCAATCAGCAGTTATTCTTGAAGGTGCAATAGGCATTCATATCAAAGTCAGATGGCCATTGATTGATAACAAAATGAACTTTACAAACTTTATTAAGGATCAAAGTTACAGAGTATACATGAAACAGAAACAAGAGAAGGAAAACAAGAAGAGGAGAGAATTATAAAAACAGATCCTTAGAGGAGAAAACAACAGACATACCTCAACCAAGAAAGGACAGGGAAAAAAAGCCTAGCAATAACCTGCACTGAATATAAAGCATCCAACTTCCAAAATACTTAATAATTAGATTGTCAATTTCTCTACAGCAAAACCTTCAAACTAGAAGTTACATATTCATGGCTCTACCTCACCCCTCTATTCACCTCTACCTCTTTTTCCACCTCTACACCAAACCAACTTTGACAAGATAATCCGACAAACATCAACAAATTAATTACTTCTAAATCAACACCTAAGTGCATCAATCCAACCTTTTACAGGCCACACTTCCTTCTGCACTAACCACAATGGCTTGTTTATCAGTCTATGACAAAATGACCCATTCTTCCCAGGGGCTAAATCCTTTTTAGCTAAGATCAGAAATCAGTTTGATACTAATATTGGAGTTCTCCATTCAGACTCGAGGGGTGAATACTTTGATGGAGATTTACAAACCTTCTTGAAAGACAATGGAATTCAATCATAGATATCTTGCCCTAGCACTCCACAACAAAATAGAGTGGTGGAGAGCAAAAACTGGCATTTTAAATAGGGAAAATTCCTGATCAGTACCCTGTACTTTGGCTCAAGTTACAACTTGGTCCCCGAACTTTACAATGCGACAATTCAGTACCCAAATTTTCAAAATGTGACAATCCGGTATCCAAACTTTCAAAATGTGATAATCCAGTACCTGCCATTAACCAGTCCGCTAATCAGCCATGAAGTAACATTTGAAAAGTCAAAAATGCCCTAAGAACGCCATCTAATTCTCTTTATCAACCATCCAAGCATTGACAATAAAATGAACAGTCCCAAATTCTAGATTCTTCTAAACAGTCCCCAACTTTTTTGAATAGAAGAGGCTAGGATTTGAGACTGTTCAAATTTTTGTCAACGTTTGGATGGTTGATAAAGAGAATTAGATGGCATTTGAAGGGCATTTTTGACTTTTCAAATGTCACTTAACGAATGATTAACGGACTGGTTAACGGCAGGTACTGGATTGCCACATTTTGAAAGTTCGGGTACTGGATTGTTCCATTTTGAAAGTTCGGGTACTGGATTGTCACATTTTAAAGTTTGGGGACCAAATTGTTACTCGAGCCAAAGTACAGGGTACTGATCGGGAATTTTCCCTTTTGAATATTGTCCAGACCTCGCTCCATGATTCACATACTCCTATTCCTTCTTGGTTGAGGCAGCGAGCACTGCTATGTACCTAATCAACCTTTTTCCTTCCTCTATTTTACATTATACCTCTTTTTTCCAGAGTTTGTTCCATCATTCACATGACTTCTCTATACTTTATGTTTTTGATTGTGTGTTTTGTTCATCTTCCACCTCACAAGCGAACAAAACTCACTCCCCAGACAGCAATGTGTGCATTAGTGGAATATAGCCCTGAACATAAAGGTTTCCTTTACTATGACCCCCATTTCCATTGGATTCATGTGCCCCATAATGTTAGTTTCCTTGAGAATATTTCTGTCTTCGCTCACATTGATAAACTTCCTGCTACTTCTATTTTTGCGCTACATTCTTTAGACTCTGCAAGTTCTTCAGATTCAACACCTTTTATTCCAGAACTGCTTCGTGTCTTCTCCAGGAAGAGGCTAGCCATTCCAACTCCTATAGCCCCACCCCTTTCATCACTAGACACAGGTCCACCATCCTATAATCCTCCAATACATCGTTCTTCTCATGTCTCTCACCCTCCTAACCGCTATGGTTTTCCTTCAAACCATAGTTCTCTTTCCATTTGTTTTGTCTACTACAAATATTCCAAAATCTCACCAACAAACTATGGTTGCTCTGCATTGGAAGGAAGCAATGGATACTAAGCTCCAACCCTTTAATGATAATGATACATGGGACATGGTTCCTGTCCCTCGGATGCCTGACTCATTGGTAGTAGATGGGTGTATTCTGTGAAGCATAATTCTGATGGGAGTCTTGATATAAGGCTCGCTTGGTGGTACAAGGATACAAACAGGAATATGGCATAGGTTACAAGGAGACATTTGCACCCGTAGCTAAGATGACTACAATTCAACTTCTCTTGGTCATTTCTGCACCCAAACATTGGGACATCCATCAGATGGATATCAAAAATGTCTTCTTACATGGGGACCTTAAGGAGACTATCTATATGAAACCTCCTCTAGGATATTATGATGGTTCTCCCATGGTGTGTTGCCTTAGATATGTATGGTCTCAAAGAAAACTCCTAGGGCATAATTTGAGAAATTTCATACGATGATTACTCCCTATTGATTTTAAGAAGATCCTAGGGCATGGTATTCCCTGTTGATTACTTTGTTGCTCCTGTATGTAGATGACATTTTTACTACTAGTGTAGTGATGACAGTGATGGTATTTCCTCTTTAAAACAACTTCATAGTTATTCCTTTAAGATGAAGGATCTTGGTCACCTTACCTATTTCTTGGGATTGGAAGTCACTCATTCATCTCGTGGGTATTTTGTTAATCAACACAAATATGCACTAGACCTTGTGAAAGTTGCTAATTTGAGTGCTAACAAACAAGTTGATACTCCTCTTGAGATGAATTTAAAGCTCTCCAAGGATGATGAGGAAATTCTTGTTGATGCTACTCACCATGACACACCCAGATATTTCTTATGTTGTCCAAGTGGTCAGTCAATTTGTTTCTTCTCCTTGGCAACCTCATATGACTGTAGTCCCTTGTATAATCAGATATGTTCATGGAACTCTATCACATGGCTTATTCTTTCTAGCATCCACATCTCTTAGACTATCAGCTTATGCAGATATTGATTGGGCAGGATGCCCGAACACTCAACGTTCTACTACTGGTTGTTGTGTCTTTCTTGGAGACTCCCTCATATCTTGGAAATGTAAGATGCAACAAACCGTTTCCAAATCTTCTACTGAGACTAAGTATAGAGCTATGTCTTCCATATGCAATGAGATTATCTAGCCCAAGGCCCTTCCTGATGACCTTGGCTTTTCATTGTCCTCTCCAGTTCCTATTTATGCAAACAATGTCAGTTCCATTAAGATTGCCTCTGTAGAGAACACTGATGTGGGCCCCATGGCTGTGGTCCCCACTGTGTTTGTATGACAGCATGTGTAACCTTTGTTAGTCATGTCAGTGTTAGTTGGTAGTTATCTTAGACAGCTTGTTATTTCAGTTTGTTATTTATTTCAGTCTTTTATTTGTTTTTTGCTATGTAAGTATTAAGGGCAGTTCTGTCCTTTCCTACATCTAGTGAACATAACCTATAAATATTAAGAGAGTGCCGGCGGCAGACTCATTCAATCTGTCCCTCCTTTCAAAACCCTTGTGCACTTCTGCTTCTTCTCCTTTCTTCTTCCTCTTCCTTCTATTTTTTCTCAATCCGAAATCAGTTGGGATTCAAGACTGATTGTAGTCTTGATCGACTACTTGGTATCATAGCCTATCTAGGGTTTCTCATGTGAGTCTAGTCCAGCCGGCCACATGAGAACTATCTAGGGCTGGAAGCTTACAAAGGACTGTTCGTTGGCTGATTCTTGGAGGTTACCAGAAAAGTTTAGCAGCTGTTCGAAGACTTGTCGCGGCTTACTGAGTGTTTTGGTAATCAGGAAGAATCAGAAGAGGTTAGGGTTCAGGCCACCCTTGTGAGAACCCTAATTCTGCTTCAGCTCTACAGAGGGCTTTCTAAGTGAGTTTCAGACCTGGTTTTGGCTTCCGAGCCGGTTTTGAGAGTGAGAACTGTTATCAGACTACATATATTTTGATTGCCGATTGGTTTTAGATCAGATCTGAACTGATTTCATACAGTTTTCTGATTGTGATCGATTGCTTCGGTGCTGTTTTCTAGTGTGGAAAACCTAATAGTTCTTAACTACTGATTCTTGACCAAGAATGGAGTTCAAAAATCAGGGAGAAGGTGTGTTTGGGAACAGCAGTTCTGGTAGTATGTCTGAGACTGCGTTTCAGATTACAACTGTGAGATTTGATGGATCCAATTACTTGGAATGGGCCCAATCAGCCATGATGGCTATTGG